ATGTATTCTCCCATACTGTAGGATACCTTTTTGTTCTATTGATGGTGTCCTTTGCTGTACAGAAGCCTTTTAGCTTGATATAGTCCCACTTGTTCAATTTTTGCTTTTGTTTCCCTTGCCCGGGGAGATATATTCATGAAGAAGTTGCTCATGTGTATGTCCATGAGATTTTTGCCTATGTTTTTTTCTAAGAGTTTTATGTTTCATGACTTATATTCAGGTCTTTGATCCATTTCGAATTTACTTTTGTGTATGGGGTTAGACAGTGATCCAGTTTCATTCTCTTACATGTAGCTGTCCAGTTTTGCCAGCACCATCTGTTGAAGAGACTGTCATTTCCCCATTGTATGTCCATGGCTCCTTTATCGTATATTAATTGCCCATATATGTTTGGGTTAATGTCTGGAGTCTCTATTCTGTTCCACTGGTCTGTGGCTCTGTTCTTGTGCCAGTACCAAATTGTCTTGATTACTGTGGCTTTGTAGTAGAGCTTGAAGTTAGGGAGCGAGATCCCCCCCACTTTATTCTTCCTTCTCAGGATTGCTTTGGCTATTCGGGGTGAGCAGTGAGATTTCGAGGGATAATCTGCTACCAGTATAACCTTGCCTAATATGACTATTATGGATATGGTTTTATTTTCTTTTCCGTATTTTCTGACTTTGGGTTATTTATATAATCTACAAATTTTTTAAAACCATAAAATTTATTTTAATGAAAAAAATTAGTGAAAAATAGGAGGTATAAGCCCTGTCTTTATTAGCCTATATATGAATTTTGATTATTCATGCTTTTGGTTGGATCTAAATAATGTGAAGAAAATGTAAATAGGTATTTATAGATATTTGGAGTTAATACATTTTAAATCAGGGTTAGTTATACTGTGTATCAACTTTTCCTCTCCAATCCTTCTCTGATATTGAATAACTGTTTAGCCGGCCTCCATGGTATATAATCGGAAAACTCTCCTGCTTCCCCTTCATATATGCCCTACACATAATTCTTTCCATGTCCTGCACGAAGCATCTTGCCGATCCCTTCATTTTTCACTTTTTCAGTCACAAGTAGTCTTATTGAAGGAGTGAAAATATCTTGTCCGAGGTGACAATTACAACTCTAAAGTTCAAGCTCAAGGTTCTTCCCTTCCCGTGCTGGTCCTGCTTCAGGTGCCACCTTGCTGTAATGAAGAGAGGTGTGCCAGGCTTCTCCACATGCCTACCTTTACTCCTCAGTTTACTCCTCCTCTCCCACTGGCTAGCTGCTATTTCTTAACCCTCCACCCCCAGGGCTTGGTGCAGGAGAAGAAGGGACTGGGAGAGATGGCACAGTCATTCCTGGTTAATACAGGATGCTCTTAATCTTTGAGAGTTGGTTCCCTATGGACATGTAGGACTCACAAATGTTGGCTTTTTCCTTTATATGTCACCTTTGCGGCTTTTTATTGTCTCTATTGCTGGAACTTAGGCAATGCCTCTCCTCTTTTGACAGCCTATGACCTTTTCCCCATAGTCCTTGGCCTTCTAGAAGTTCATCCCCTGTAAAACTCACTGTCCTGGGGTCCCTTCCCTCTCTGGGCATCCCTCATAGGAAGGACCCTTTTTAAATGACTCCAGGTTGGTTCCCTTTAGGTACACGTGTCCCGCAGAACTCACACATCTTTCTCACACATCTTTGCCCTGCTGGCAAGGGCAGCACAGCTCCCTTGCAACCACCACATTGCTCCATGCGATCACCTTACTTGCCATCCCTGGGCAGCTAGTCAACCAGCACTGTGCTTTGCGACCTTCTCAGGTGGGAGTAGGATATCAGTCCCCACAGACTTTGTCTTGCCAATGGGTTTCAGCCCCGGGCAAGTTCGCTATGGATTGAGTGTGACCAAAGAAATTGACAGCATAATGTTCTTGGGATGAAAAGGTTATACCCAACTTTATTTCCAGGTGGCAGGTCAGTCACTAAAATCCTGTTCACTCAGGAGTGAGTCTGCATGCAGCAAGCCGGTCTCTACCTCTGGGCCCCTATGTCTGCACAGCCGTCCTTTGGGCCACTCTTTCTGCACAGCCATCCTGCTCATCCGTCCTCCGGGCCTCTCTGCAGTCATCCTGCACAGCCATCCTCCAGGCCTCTCTGCACAGTCGTCCTGCGCAGCCGTCCTCTGGGCCTCTGTCCTTGGCACTGCCACCACTCCAGCCTCTGCTCTGCTCTGCAGCCTTGCAGCCCTGCCACTGTGTTGTGTGCAGAGCACTGGGTGGAGCTCTTTATATAGAGTCAAATTGCCCACCAGTGTGCAGTGAGCTAGTCAACCAGGGCCAGGTGAGAATCCTGGCCACAGGAACTCATTTTATCCACAGACTTCCAAACCCTAGGAGATATATACCAAACACTCTGAGAGATGCTAATTGAGGCCTCTATCTCACTTGGCTTCAGGCAGAGAATGACCTCCCTCCCTCCCCAGAGTGGAGGGAGAGGAAATACAGAATGTGCATGTAGTTCCGCAACACAACTTCCATTCTCTCACATAGACTCAATCTGGATGATTAGTAGCGCTGGCAGACTGGTTCACCTCTCTTCC